GATTGATGCCTATTGTTGGGAAACCTATTCACTTGATCACGTGATTCAGAACTTGCACACGTTTGACTCTGATCTTATTTCCATACTGTATCAGTTCACTAAAGTGGCGGTATCATGTAAGGAATCTTTAAGATGAGATATGATTTTGGTGGGCATGCCGCTGATTGGACAAAATGCTTTTGGCGGGTTTGATGCTGGTTGGTCAAATGTTTTTGGTGGGCTCAATGCTGAGTGGTCAAATGTTTTTGGCGGGCTTGATGGTGATTGGTTGACCTAGCTGACACATATGTTATAACTTCAACCCGCCTCCGTCTCTGCCTTGTATAAATACGGGTGGTTGTCCTGTAGTCGAGTCATTCGTTCATCGAATACAGTGCTGATGAGTTGTTCTCCCTTCGCTTCCTGGAAGATGGATAACCTATACGAGCGGCGGGTGAGGAAGAATTCCGCTCTTCCTGCTGACCCTCCTCAAGTTGTGCCCTCTTCGAAGGCAGTACCGGCTAAGCGTCGCTATGTGTCACCTGCTCCTACCAAGCTCCACAAAGAGATTGTGGTAGATGGGTTTCAGGAGGACATGCAACTGTCCTACAAGTCATCAGGTAGATCCTTCTACAAGCCTGGTTATAAGATGTACTTCCCTTCAGGAGCTCTACCAGCCTGTTGTAGTACGGCAACAGCTCGCAAAGATGCTCAAGGACAGGTTTACATCGAACTGAATGAGTCCACTGAGTTCATCATTACGAACTTGATCAAGACTTGTCCATCGCTCCGTGACACTCTCCGAAGAGGACGTGTGGAGAAGATCAAGACCAACTTCTACCCATCACGTTCGTCCTACGGTCAATGTCGGGTGTACATCAACGGTGAAAGCAAGCTAGTCCCGACCAGCTGGTTCGAACTGGATGTGGAACAAGATGTTTTCATCTACCCCGGGGCAGTCTCCCTCGACATTGACGAGCAAGCGTTGAAGGTACGTCTTGCTGTTGCTCCAATTGTCTGCATCAACGTGGACCCCAGATGTTTTCATCGTTCTCTGGACGCACACATGACACTTTCTACCACGGAACTGAAACAGCTAACTGAGAGCTTCATATCATTATGCAGTGTCGCCGTCCGACATGACGATCAGCTGGTAGAGACCTTCCAATAAGTCTTTAATGAACTGCATTCTTTATCAGACAGTTGATCATTCATTCTTATCCTATCCTATTTGACTGTATACTACTTCCTGCTGCAATATATCATTATAGTCAAAACTTCTAGAAAACAAGTATGGGTGGTGTTGTGTCGAGTAATACATCCACGGAAGAGTGCTGCCTTGCCTCTTCTGATTCTAGCATCCCCACTGATACTAGTAGGGTATGGGTTGCAGGATGTGAAAAGAATGGAGTTGGAAAAGATGAGCCAGGGTGATTTCATGTGCGCACCATCAAGGAATGCGTCAATCATGACAAGGTTCCATCATGAATGTGAAGACTTCGAGACTCGTCATGCCTTTGACATGGACCATTTATTCGTTCCAGATTCACCGTTGTTTCACGAGTCTGCTAAAAAGGTTGCTATCTGCTAAAAAAGTTGCAATGAAAAAAATAAAAAAATAAAATAAAATGAAAAAATCCAAGCGCGTTTTGTACGGTCATACCTCAAAATAAGAAGATTAAGTTCCAGTATGAAGCTACCAAGTCCGATTTGAACAAGGTGGCGGGGCTCGAGTCTCTCAAGTGCCGGTGGCAATTCATGTTATTATTATTTTATTTATTTTACTAGGGTGTTTCCCACAGACCATGTGTTTGGTTACGCTGCACAAGCAGCGCATTACTTTATCCCTTCCACTAATTGTTATCGGCCAATCAGCATACTCTCACCACCTCACATCCAATCAGCATACCCCACGTCACACTAACGTTACACAAACTTGTCTCATATTTGCGAAAAAATGGTACTGGATCATAGCAACATCCTCCTGCATAATGAACAAAATAACGATTAAAACACAACAACCGACAACAACCGACAACAACCAACAACAACCAAAAACAACCAACAACAGCCAACAACAACCAACAACAACCGACAACAACCGACAACAACCGACAACAACATCCAACAACCAACAACAACTGACAACAACCAACTACAACCAACAACAACAACAAACAACAACCAACAACCGACAACAACAAACAACAACAACCAACAACAGCCAACAACAACCAACAACAGCCAACAACAACAACAACAACCAACAACAACCGACAACAACCGACAACAACCGACAACAACCGACAACAACATCCAACAACCAACAACAACTGACAACAACCAACTACAACCAACAACAACACACAACAACATCCAACAACCGACAACAACAAACAACAACAACCAACAACAGCCAACAACAACCAACAACAACCGACAACAACCGACAACAACCAACAACAACCAACACCAACCAACACCAACCAACAACAACACCCAACAACCGACAACCACACCCAACAACCGACAACAACACCCAACAACCGACAACAACCGACAACAACCGACAACAACCGACAACAACACGCAACAACAACCAACAACACCTGACAACAACCGACAACAACCAACAACGCCCAACAACAACCAACAACAACCAACAATAACCAACAACAACCGACAACAACCGACAACAACCAACAACGCCCGACAACAACCAACAACAACCAACAATAACCAACAACAACCGACAACAACCGACAACAACATCCAACAGCCAACAACAACCGACAACAATCAACAATAACAACCAACAACCGACAGCAACAACCAATAACAACCAACAACCGACAGCAACAACTAATAACAACATCAACAACGACGACGATAACGACGACAACAACTGACAACAACATCAACAACAACCAACAACAACCAACAACAACCAACAACAACCGGCAACAACCGACAGCAGCAACCAATAACAGCATCAACAACGACGACGATAACGACGACAACAACCGACAACAACATCAACAACAACCAACAACAACCAACAACAACCAACAACAACCGGCAACAACCGACAGCAACAACCAATAACAACATCAACAACGACGACGATAACGACGACAACAACCGACTACAACATCAACAACGACGACGATAACGACGACAACCACAACAGTGTCCGGTAATGTGTGGTAGAGAATGGCAGTCAGCCAGACGGAGTACAGTTGAACATGTATAATAATAATAACACATTTCGCGTAGTTGAGCACTAAATAAAGAAATTCAGTGTTTTTCCCACTTCTGTCTTGTGAGCATCATCAGCAAGGTGTAGTAGCTGCTGATACTGATTTGTCCTCGAGTGTCGAGCTGCACAGTTTCTTCCAGTCTGTCTTGTCCTCTGCATGTTGTCGGCACCTGGAAAGGTCTTCCATGGTCTTCATGGGCACACCCAGCTTATTCAACTGAGCGACCAGACTTGTGGCTAGTGTCAACCTTGGCCGCCCACGAGGTGCTTTGTTGTCCTTGTCCAAATAGCCGCTCATGGCTACTTAGGGTGGCGTGTCCGTGTCCATCTGTAGCACATGACTGGTCATTCGTAGTCGCCTACATGCAGCTGTGTCATGCATTACTACAAGAACTCAACCAAGTCCTCAGCAGTCATGGAGTAGCGGCAGGCTAGGCAAGTAGGGCTGGGGGGTAGAACTGATCCACTGCTTCATACAGTGGAAGTGAAATTCATGACCGCACTCCAACTTGGATAGAGGACGGTCCAGGGTATCCTGACAAATCACACAAATGGACTCATGACTTATTGCTGACGAGTCTACCTTAGTAGGTACTACATTGGTGTACTGCAGCTCCATGGGGTGTATTGCCTGGTCTTGATGGTGGTCACCGTAATACACCCCGTTGAGGTACCACTGATAGATACCCTCCTCCTCCTGAGAGATGAAAGCAGGTCCATCTTCCCTATGCCGAAGGTTGTATCGGTACCACTCCCGTACACGATTGTTACCTTCCCTGCGTATCACCGCTGGCGCATTCTCCCTGTGGAGCATTCCGTGGTGATACCACCGTAGAATACAGTATGTGGCGTCACAATAACTGACTGCAGGACCGCCGGCTCTAGACGCCGTTGAGGTAGTACTCGATGCTACCCCGTCCTATCCAAGCAGGTTCATTAACGCGATGAAGGCGACCTCCATAGCACCAGGCGGACACTCGCCTACTATCAACAAGAGCTGGTCCGTCCTCCCGATGGAGTCTACCATCGACGTGCCAAATTTCTTGCTGCGCGTTTTGATCTGCCAAGTCCACAACAGTTCTTATTGACGTCCGCCTTTCTATTAGTAAAGGACCCGTGGTGAGAGACCACGACCGGTCGTCCACGTCTACACCGAATGTATCAGCCATATCTATTTACTGAGAATAATGTAACAACTCCTCCACAAACGCTTCTACAACTGACGTCTTCTTCATCCCCAGATAGGCGTTAGCCTTTGGGTAATCCTGAAATAAAGATTATTATTATTATCCTGGTTTTTTTTCCTCTTGGTGGTTTTGGATAAGAGTTGAAAAGTCCAAAAGGTCAACTGATGACCTTTGCATTACTTGGTATGATTGGATTTTAGCGGATGATGTCGTTATGCAGCTGGAGAGCGAATTCGACAGGAAGAAGGTAAAGGCCTTGCTTTGCGGTTCACACCTTCACTTCAGTATCATTACAGTATGGCTTTCACATGTCACTGCGGTGTGGAACTTACAGGAGTTATACCCCTGTTTCAGCACCTGAGGCGGTGCGTCAAGCGCCGCCTCTTTCTTATAATATATTGTGACAAATGGTAAGTGTGCAGTGCTCCTAGCTCTCTCCCCCAACAAAAGAGCTCTATGACACTGTGCTTTCTGCGGTTTCTTTCGTTTTTACAGTGGAGAAAGGCTGGTGGGAGGCCAGGCCGTGGCCGCACACCTGGCGGGTGCGGCCCATCGAACCCGTTACTGGGAGGGCTGGCAAGTCGGGCTGCTGTTGCAGTCCGACTACCGGGACGCCATGGAGCGTATCCGGACCCTGTAAGTAAGCACTGCTCTGTCTACATGTATACTTATCCCCTTCGTTATAGCGATACTTACTTGTTTCGTATCCTCTTGTCTTACCCTGCTTCCGTATTCGTGACACTAATAGTGTTTGTGTGCGCTCATGCTTGGTTTTACAGATGATGATGATGTATGTATGAAGGTCTGGAGCTAGCTGCCGTCTTCGGGATGTGCCATTTGTTTTCAAAATTATTTGTAAGTACTTGTAACAGGCGTAGTGTAGTAACTGTGTATGCAGTGTAGTAACAGTGTGTAGTGTTTTGTGATGGTCCTGAGCGGTCGTAATGTGTTTTGTGATGGTCCTGAGCAGTCGTAATGTGTTGGGCTACTGAAGTACACTGCATGAAGGGGTATGCGTGGGTGCTTCGACATATTCTCGTGCTTCCTAAACCCTAGATACGTGTATAGCACTATAACCTAGATGTGTGTGTGCGTGTGTGCCTGTGTGTGTCCGCGCATGCGTGCGTGTGTGTGCATTGTGTTCTCTTCTACAGACTCATCCAAGTCAATTTAAATAAAAGTGTATTATAGTAAACAGTATTGTGTTTTGTAACAGTGAATATGTGGGGAATGGTGGACATGCCTTAGTGTGACTGGATACCCGCGGGTTGTGACTCTTTGCTGGCCACTCTGGATTCTCCAGTATAAATTCGGTACAGGGCAGAGGGGATTTGTGGTGCGTAGCAACACTGCTTCACTGTGACACCCCTTCAATAATTGTTTTGATGCATGATACTCCGGGCGTAGCCGGTTAATTCTAACTGAATTCCGATCAAAATAGAAATATGCATCTAATGTACCTGTATGGACCGTAGGTATTTCCCTAATCGGCCGGGCGAAAAATTCGCCGAAAACAGTGGTTTTGAAGAAATTACCCATCTTTTCGCCGAATGTTCAAAAATTCGCATGTTGAATTCGCCAAAAACCGATGCTTCAGTGCTTCTACAGGGTGTATGTAAATGTACATGACGTAATGGGAACGGTGACTTCAAGTACTATGTTGAGCCGAATTCTGATCTTGGGGCTCATAATATGGCCGAATTTGAACATTCTCATAACCGATCGAAAAGCCGATTAGGCATGCTCTGCAGGGCAACTTGTCAATCAGTGCACATCTACGATGTGCGAATAAAACGAGTGCATGGCACGTGTACTTGTTTGCTGCAAATCTACGAAGTGCGAATCAGGGAGTAGTATAATGACACGTGTACTAGTACACCTTGTGTTGCACTGCGTCTTTTCCGCAGGGCCACTGAAGGTCACATGCTCCGCGTGCGTATGCGCGCATGCGCAATATGTCATTCGCTGCATGCAATGCACATCTATGATGTGCGAATCAGGGAATAGTACGTATTTTACTACTCCCCGGTGCGAATGCACCGAACGTGCACAAGTGCACGTTCGCCACGGAAAAGAACCTTTATGGCACATTTATGGCATGCCAGGGGTCAAAGGTCAAACTCTGGGGGGTCCCGGGGCCAGACCAAGCACGACCGACACAGTGTGCCTTATTTGGCCCAAAGGTCAAAGGTCAAAAAGTGCACCAGAACCTGCCCCGCACTTACTACTCCGTGGCTCACCATGATCAGACGCCTACCAAACTAAACTGGATTCACACACTCGCATAAAGGAAGACTGAAAAGAACAGGGAGACTGAAGGAAGAGAGGAAAGAAAATGCCATACCTAGAATCAGCGTTAGTAACCACGGCGGCGGCTGGAGCTACGGCGGAGGGCAAGCCAGGTTTTATCTTCATCTTGGTTGAGCCGGTCACTCAGAGCGGCTAGCTCGGCGTCAGACAAATGACCTGATTGACCTCCTTCCTCGTCTTGAATCGTGGTCTTCACATTGTCGATAGCATCGCTTTGCGCGACGTAAAAAGTGATGGTTTAGCCAGGAATAGTGTTGACGAAAATCTGCATCCCACCACGGAGGCGAAGTACCAAGTGAAGAGTGGGCTCCTGCTTCCGACTGCGTGCCGGCGAAAATCAAACGCTGCTGGTCTTGGGAAATACCCTCCTTGTCTTGGGCGGCAGCCTGCCTGTTGTCGTCCTCATCAGCTTCGCCATCACCACCGGTAGTATACATGTAGGTAGCGGGTCGCTTGGAATCGCCATCGGAGTCTCCAGTGTATGCCGTTTGGAGAGAAGGGTGATCCACGCTAGCACCCTGACTGTGCTGCAGGCTAATAAGCAGGGCCAGGCCCAGGAAAGCAAGAAACATGATTCTCATCTTGATTCGTCGCAGGGAGCTGCCGCGGGTTGAGCCATGGGGGTCTCGGGTCGAATCACGTTGTTTTATTTAAAACTACACCGCTGCCACCAATGTAACAGGTAGCCGAGTGGTAGGCGCGGTGCAATCAACAAGAACTACTTTTATTCTACTTCTTTCAGGCACACACCTGAGATATAATTATTATTAGTGAAAGAAGAAGCGGCAAATAAATGACTTTCTCTCCGGTGCACACCTGGAGGTTGAATAGTTCGTTATTATCAAAATCTCCTCTAAACAGAAATGCGCAGCAGCTTTTATGCAGCAGACGCCGTACGCTTACATACGGAGATACACTAACTATTATAGCAATAAAAACTGCTTTATGGCAGTTTTCTAAAAAAAGTTATTGTGTTCTAGTCCATGGACCCCGTCTAAAAAGTAAGAAATTATCGAAATGTGATAGCCGAAAATTCAAATTTCACACAAAACCTCACAATAATCACAACACTTGAAATGCTGCTTTCAACACTAAACTTGTACTGCACCAACAATTGGCAACATGCATGTCATACATGCATAGGAAAGAGGATCACGAGGGGAAAAGGTCTTCAACATGTAGCTTTTCATTCTGTGTGTGATTATTGTGAGGTTTTGTGTGAAATTTGAATTTTCGGCTATCACATTTCGATAATTTCTTACTTTTTAGACGGGGTCCATGGACTAGAACACAATAACTTTTTTTAGAAAACTGCCATAAAGCAGTTTTTATTGCTATAATTTCTTTTGTTTTTTCTGTCACCAATGAATAGAATGCCCTATATCAATATGTAAATTTAAACTAAATGATGGCCTTCACATCATATCAAGAGATCAATACTGTATTATACGCATGATGTGCAAGCCTTTTCTTGCAGAAAATGGCAAAATGCATGTTCTTCTGCTGGGAAACATGTGAGTACGTAGTGGTGGACCGTGGTGATACATTTTTTATACGGAGGTCATTCTGTGCATGTTGTTGTAGCAGAATTTCATGACTCTGTCATAAAATTGTCTTGCCTTTCAGATATTTCAGATCTCCCCACCCTCGATCAGATTTACATGTATTTGAGAAATGTAACCAGGTGCGTGTCGCAGATGTTTTTGTTGATTCTGTGTTTATAGGTTTATAATCAATGGTTTTCGTGATAAGGTCATCCTGCATCATATTGCACTGAAATCGTAATCCTGTTGATGTCGATACAACTTTTGGAAGTAGTTCAATGACTTCAAACTGTTAGTCCACGATTTTCTAAAACAACACAGCAAAAGAGGTACAATAAACATGTATTAAAATGTAAACAAATACATTGCTGAGTCCGACACCTCCTTCCAACAGCTACACTGATCCTGAGGATAAAAGGGGCAAGGCTATGGTTGGAGGTACTGAGAGATAAACAAGGCACTCCATAAAAATAAAATCTTACACATCTTTTGGTGAGTATGAATGATATCCAGTCGAACCCCTTTAGGACGAACACCAAGGGACCGATGGTATTTATTCTGTGAGTTTGTCTTAACCTATTTATAACCAGTGAATACAATTATTTCTCCGATAGACATACGAATAGATTTCTTCTACAGCGAAAGATGATTCTAAGCCACACCAACTCATTGACTCGTCTCATATGAAACAAATGAGTCACCAGAGAGGTTCTGCAAAACGAAAATGCCTACAAACTTTCGTTCTATGTCATGAAGTGCGAAACTTCGCACGAACTTTCGCAACTTTGGACGCGAAACTTGCAGGGAACGCGAAATAAACTGTCGTAGGAAAATTCGTGAGATCGGGTCATGGCGTACGTGCACTTGGCCCGCGCAAACTACGAAAATGTGCAGAACGCAAAATTCGTGCAAAAATTCGTACACACTTTCGCAAGGACTGTCGCGAAACTTTGTTCGAATTTTCGTTTTGCAGAACCTCTCTACTGAACCTTTCTTTAGAAACATGACGGCAACTGAAACAGCAACAGAGAAAGTACGATACATGTACAGCACATTCTTGCAGGTACATGTACTACAAACAGATTGCGGATCATAATTCTTGCTTTGGCGGCACGAAACTTTATTTGGGGCAGTGCAATCTCGGCGGTACTCACAAATAATAAATCAAACAGCCCAGACTCGAGTAAACAAATCCAATCATACAAGTACAAGATCTTCACGAGACTGCACCCATTGGCTTGTTTCGTATGAAGCAAACAAGTTACTGATCCTCTCGACAATGGAGATTTTCCCTGATATGCGAATATATTTTGCAAACTCGGTCAATGGGTCCTTGAACCTTTCCCTCCAGATTGGGACCTGCCAACGATAGTATGCCACTGACCAGTGCCTTACTTGTAACGTACCAATGTACAATGAATATGAGTATTTCGACAACACATCTAACATAAGCCTTACCGTCCAGAAGGTGAACTCGCGTTCTTCGCACACTGTAGACAAGGGCAAAGAGATAAAAATGGATCTAAATCCGAATAAAATCAGCACACGTTTCCGTAAATGAAAGGGTGAGCATAAGCAAATGAATCGAAGGAAGCAAAGAGATCCTGTCAGCTTTTCCATTATTAATTTTATTGCATTCCGCCCAAAATCAGCACACTTTTCGTAAATGAAAGAGTCAACACAAGCAAATGAATCAAAGGGAACTGGTCAACTCACCTGTCATTGAGTAATATTCCGCGAAAGGAGGTCTCAGTAGCGCCGAAACGAAAGCCAGGCCAGGAGACGAAATATCCAAAACAGCTCATACAAGAAGCAGTTCCAAAGAAGGAAAGTTCCTCGCGCATGCACATCCGAACGTTCGAACACGGACTGCACTGCAACACAATGTCTGCCGTGCAAGTGCACCGCACGCGGCTACCACCCGTTGGTAGATCTAATACCGAGCACCTTACGTAGAGACTTACGTAGCCTAAGTGAAATACCGAGCACCTTACGTAGAAACTTACGTAGCATAGCGGTGTCGTTTTTCTTGCCATGTGAACACAATAATAGAAAAGCTGACAGGATCGCTTTTCTAAATACATCAGGCAAAGCTCCGTATTAGTTCCATACTACTTCCGTATTGGTCGGGCAGGGATACTACACTAGTTGTCGTAAGTTGTATAGTGATGATGTCTTTTCGATTTTGACTCGTGGAAGGTCTAAGTTACATCTTGCTGTGTTAGAAGCTCTGTATATTCGTAAACTAGATCCAGAACTATGTGTACAGAAGGAGAACGTGTTATCGTTGCAGTTGTTTGGTGTCACACCTCGTGAAAGTGTGGCAAGTGTTCCCTGATGT